TCTCTGGTGTTAAGGTTTCTCCTCTTACTAATTCTTAGAGCATTTCCTCTTCTTTCCTCAGAATAGTTTCTTCATTGCTGTAACTCTTGTCATTTGCAGTCACATATTTATTACTCATCTTGTTCCCTTGCGATTAGTGTTTTAAGATTTAAGAAAAAAATATTGGTTTTTTTTTTTTTTTTTTTTGAAACAGGGTCTCCCTGTAGCCCCAGCTGGCCTGGAATTTGATATGTAGACCACGCTGGCCTTGATCTCACAGAGATCTGCTTGTCTTTGCCTCCTGAGTGCTGGGATTAAAGCATGCATCACCACATCCAGTGTTAACTTTAAAGTTTTAAATTTAAAAAATTGGGGCTGGAGCGTTGGATCAGTGGTTAAGGGTACTGGACCTGGGTTCAGTTCTACAAGCATCCATAACTCCAGTTCCAGAGCATTCATTGCCCTTAGCCGGCATCTGCTGGCGCTGCACACATGGGTGTACTTACATACATGCAGGCAAAACATGCATGTTCAAAATAAAAATAAAAAATTTTCTTTTTAAAAATTAAAATTTTAGGGGGGGCTAGAGAGATGGCTCAGCAGTTCATGGACAACAATCTGTAACTCCAGTTCCAGATCTGTAGCCTTCCTCTGGTTGCTGCTACATGCAGGCAATACACAAATACACATAAAATAAAAATAAAATATTTTTTTAAAAAATTAAAAATTTAGGGCTGAAGAGATGGCTCAGCAGTTGAGACTACTCACTGCTCTTGCAGGAGACCTGGGTTTGATTCCCAGTACCCAGATGGTGGCTAACAACCATTCATAACTCTAGTTCCAGGGGCTCCAATGCCCTCTTCTGACCTCCATGGGTATTACATGACACAGGCGTACTTGCACACATGCAGTCAATACATTTATACACATAAAAATAAAATATTAAAGAAAATTAAAAATTTAAATTTATGTGTTTACGATTGAATGAATGCCATGTATGTGGGAACCCTTGGAGACCAGAAGAGGGCATTGCATCCCTTGGAGCTGGAGGTACAGGTGTTTGTAAGCTGCTAGATGTTGGTGCTGGGAACCAAATTTGGATCCTTTGGAAGAGCAGGAAGCACTCTTAATCTCTGAGCCATCTCTTCAGCTCTAAAATTAGTGTTTTACTTAAGACATCTTCCTAACTTTAGACCAGGGTTTCTTTCTCAGCACTACAGCTATTTTGCATCAGGTACTTTTTCATAGTAGACACTGTCATGTGCATGTAGGATGTTTGGCAGCATCCCTGGATTCAACCCCCTAGATGCCAGTAGCAACTGTTGGTTGTAACAATCAAATCTCCAGATATTGCCAAGTGTCCCCATTGGAGGTAATATGGTCTTTGTCTAAGAACCACTGCCCTAAATGTTGGGGATGTAGTTCAGTGGTAGAGTTCATTTTGTATTTGCAAAGATCTGGGCTTATGTCCCAGCATTAAAAAAAACCCTTATAAGCCAACTAAATCATGGCTACACATAAAGATAAGTTCATCTAATGCATTTGAAAAGCTTTAGATGACTGAGTCAACTGGTACTGACTTCTGTGCAAGCTGGGAGGGAAGCACTGTCCTTCACTTCTTCTACACCCTCCTTCCTCAACACATGTTCAAATGTGCTTCACTGCTCTGAAACACCACCTGTTAGTAAATACATGTCCATCTGCTCATGGTTTTCTGGTTTTTTTCTTGCATCTTTGCACCTTCATTGGTCTTAAATATTAAACTTTTATGGGACGTCTTTACACTCATTAAGTCCTTTTCCTAATTTTTTAAAATTTGAGTATGTCGTATTTCTTTTATATATATTTTGGTTTTATAAGAATTTTAAACTTGACTCATCGATTTCTAAAAACTATTGCAGTTTTGCTTGGGACTACACGAACTGTGTGAGAAATGCCATCTTTCCATTATTATGTGTTTCAATATATGGAGAAAGCTATGTCTCCATATCCTAGTTTGTTTCTTCATTGCTGTGACAAAACACTCTGACCACTACCAACTTGGGGAGGAAAGGGTTTATTCAGCTTTCATATCCCGGGTCACAGTTCATCCGGGAACCCAAGGTAGGAACTCAGGGCAGGAACCTGGAGGCAGGAGCTGGAGCACAGGCCATGGAGGAATGCTGCTTACTGGCTTGCTCCCCTGGCCCCTGCTCAGCCTGCTTTCTTATGCCACACAGGCCCACCTGCCCAGGGGTGGCACCACCCACAGTGGGCTGGGCCCTCCCACATCACTCATCAAGAAGATGCCCCTCAGACATGGCCACAGGCCATTCCAATAGAGGCAATTCCCCAGTTGAGGCTCCTTCAACCCAGGTGTGTCAAGTTGACACTAAAGCTATCCAGCACACTCCATTTATTTGGTTATTCATCTGGATTCCCTGGGGATAGACTTTGTTCATCAAGCATCTTCTTGTCACAGGCCACAACTTTTCAGCTGTAGGCCCAAAGCCATCTACGCAAGCTTCTGAAATTTTAACTGTGCATGTTAAGCTTCATTTCAAGTGGTTTTGAGGTTGCTCAGATAACTACTTTTGACTATAATTCTAGCACTTGGGAAAGGGAGGCAGGAGATTAGGAGTTCAAGGCTAGCCTCTACTACATAGTGAGTTTGAGGCTAGACCAGGGTACATGAGACCTCATTTAAAAACAAAGTGGCTGAGGAATGTAGCTGAATTGATGAGTACCGAGTACTTGTTCAGCACTTAGGGGCCCTGGGTTTGAACTCCAGCACCATATGAACCACGTATGGTGACACATATCTGCATTACAGCACTTGGGAAGTGGAGGCAGAAGGCTCAAAAGTTCAAGGCCAGGGCTGGAGAGATGGCATAGCAGCTAAGGGTACTAGATACTCTTACACAGGGCCCAAGTTCGGTTCCTAGCACCCACACAGCAGCTAACAACCATCCATAACTTCATTTCCAGGGGATCTTATGCCCTTTTGTGGCTTCCACAGGCATTGCATGACTTGAATGTACTTACATGTAGGCAATACACACACACACACACACACACACACAGTTCAAGGCCATCCTGGGCTACATAATGAGTTAGGTTATAACTAACATAAAGATTCGTTTGCCTTAAAAAAAAAAAAAAAGGAAAGGAAGATAAGGGAGAAATAAAATATGAGGCTCCCAAGAGGCTGGCTAGTACCTGCCAAGCTTTGTGTGATTATCACTGATGTTCAGTGGGCACTGATTTCACCTTTGGGCAGCTCCTTTGGATTCAGCAGCATCCATAAAATTTATCATGGGCTCCCCATCACCAAGCTATACTCTAACCTTGTATTTGATATTGATTTACTTAACATACACAGCACATTATTGAAACATTTTATCTTCAAATAACCCAAGGGGAGTTTCTTAAAAATTATTTTAAGTTTTGACTTTTGGTTTGTCTTTTTTCACGCAGGTTCTCCCTGTAGCCCCAGCTGGCCTGGAACTCACTATGTAGACTAGGCTGGCCCTGATCTCCATCTGCCTCTGCCTCCCAAGTGATGGGATTAAAGGTGAGCATCACCACACCTGCTAAATTTTGACTTTTTGAGACAGGTTCCTGTTGTTTGGTCTCAAACTTACGGCAGTCCTCCTGTTTCAGATTTCCTCCCAAGAGCAGAATTACAGATGTGTGCCACCATTGTGGCACAACTGCCCATTTTTGTTTTGTTTTGGATAGGTCTCATTACATACCTAAGGCTGGTCTCAAATTTGTCTCATTGCTGAGATTACATGTGTGCACTGCCACATCCAACATGAAGACGATTTACAAAAACATTAAGATGAAAAAAAATTAGGTTTAAAATGACAGACTAACCTGTCCTCAGCCATCTATGGTAAATGAGTATGTTCAATCCCTTCTGACTTTTGAGACCAATGCCTGCTTGCACAGTATTCTACCTTCTCATACTGTAGGATACCTCTCCACTGATGTGCTGTAAACTCTGTGCCCGTGGAAGGTATTTAGTTATCAGACAAGTTGAAGTAAAATCAGATGAATCAATTTTTGATGGCATTGCCAAGGTATAAACAACAAACCATTTCAGGAAAGGATATTCTTGTTGCTTCAAGTTTGGGAGCGTCCACATAATTGAACATATCCAAGTTCCTGAGAGTGGTTGAGCTTGCGCCTTGTTTAAGCTAGCTTGCTCTGGTGTTTTGGGCTGCTAGCCAAGCGATCTACTACTGAGCCAAATTCCCAACCCCGTCCTCTGGTCTGTAAACTGTCTATGGAAGACAGCCAAGTTCTGTTTTTTCCCCAGGTTCCTCCCTGACATGATGCCGACGCATTGCTCTCAATAATCTGTTCATGTTATAACAGTTAATTCCATCATTTTGTTTTCTCCAAACTCTGGTTTCTGACTATTATTTTCCAAGTACACTCAGAAGTTGCTTCCCATGAGTTTTATTCAGTTTAGATTCTGCTCTTTTGGAAGTGCTGCCTTTGAAGGGGCCTTAGAAGCAGAACCAGGGTTCTAAAGAAATGGCAATTTGAACCAGTTTTACATATTTTAATTTGAATATGGGATGCAGTGGGGAATAGGGTCCCCATGACATCTTAAGGCAAAAAATTTCTGCCCTGAATTGTTTGAAAATTATTGTGCTAGCCATTGGGTTCCTCAGTATTACCAACAACATATATTTTTTGAGGTGTCTCCTGTTCAATATCTTTTTAAAATTTATTTTATGTGTATGTATATGCCTGAGTATATATATGTACAAGTACATGCAGGTGGTTGTGAGCCACCATGTGGGTGCTGGGAACTGAATCTGGGTCCTTTGGAAGAGCAGCGACTGTTCTTAACCACTAAGTCATCTCTCCAGCCCTGCTCAATATCTAATTATTTAAATCTGATATAGATAAGGAACTTTTACAACCTTATACTGTGATCTACCTCCAAAATCTTTCATTTTTAGTATAAAGTGTGCAGTTATTGCTTTTCTCTTTCCAAAATAAAATGAGAGATCATTGACACAACATGCAGAAATTAGAACACTTTATTATAAACATTTTCAGAATATAAACTGATCTTGTGTGAAGATTCTTTGAAACTTTTAAAACTATATGTAAGATAAACTTATTATTTTATATGGTATTTCACTTTTCAATCTAGAAAATACACTGCAAGTTAGCTCTAACAAAGGAAATATAAATTGTTTCATAGAGAAAACTAGTGAGCATAAAAATATGTGACTCAAAACTAAGACAAACCCAACCAAGAAAGATTCTAGTCTTTTAATTCTCCAATTTTAAATAAGTGATCTCCCAAGGGAAAATAATCCCATCACAGCAATTTGATGAATAAAAGCAGAGCCACTCTCATAAGGGAAATTACATTATATGAAAAATGTAAGAAAAATGTAATAATGTTTTCAGAAAATGAGGAAATTTCCATTAGGAAAGCAAGCACACTTTTTCATGTCTACTTTGTTAGAGGTTAAAGTATCTATTCACACAGGAAAAGGGACATCGACAGGACCGCATGAAACCAAGTTCTTCAACTATTATTTCAATTTAATCCAAGGAGAACCAGCTAAAGAGCTTCAAAATCCAAGGATAGACTGGTCCCAGAGCATTTCCTCCTCTGTCCGTTCTTCGCCTTGTTCCTTTCTCTCTTTTCTACGTTTACGGTCCTCTTTCTTCGAGGATACATCTCGATTTTTTTTCTCTTTCCGATTCTTAAGCTTTTCTGTACTGCCCTGTACAGTTTCTATGTCTACCTTTGTTTTCTTTCTTTGGATGCTCTTGTGTTTGTTGAAATCCATTTCCTCAGAACTTCTTTTCCTCTCATGCTTGGGTCGCTCCTCCTCTGCTTCTTCTCTGCTCTCCTCTGGATATCTTTTCCTCCTCTGATGCATCTGTTTATGACTGGCTTGAGGGTGGCTGGTACTGCGTCCTGAGCAGAGGTGTGTATGAACTCCATAGTCTACACTGTATGAGCTACAATTATATTCTTGTTGACTAAGGTTCGGGGGGATGGGTTTTTCTGAGAAATGGTCCCTGGTAAATTGACAATAGCTCAGGGAGTCTAGTCTCATCCTACTGTCATGAGTAGGTAACCACTGAGGTAACTGGTTTTCTACTGTTTGTGAAATATTGCATGATCGTGGGTAGGTCTGGATGGTTCCAGATGGGAGTCTTTGATCAAACATTCTATACCTAGGTCTGGAATCAACCTCTTGTCTATACCCATAGTTTTCCAAATAGTTCCCCCTCATCCTTCTGAAACAAGTCTTTGGCTCTAAGCCTCTGGCTTTCTGTACTTTAATATAATCTTCAAGTTCATCTTGAAAAGAGTCATATGAATTGTTTGAATGCTTCATTAGGTTGACAAAAAGGAATTCTCTGTAGAGAAGATGGGAGGAAAGTCCTTACTGGATTATTTTGTTCTAAACATTTCTTTCTTAGAGCTTCAAAAACAAAAAAGAAGCCCAAATTGAAACCTAGTTCATCATAGATGTTTACTATTTTGATAATATATATAAAAATGGTTAAATATCTTTCAAGCCATTCACAAGTAACTATACCTTTCTTTTAAACTGATAGAGTGTAGAAAGGAGCTGACACATAGGATGTTTCTTAGGGCTAAAAATGTAAGACAACAGGGATGTGTGAATGACATACCTATGGTGGGTGGCCTGATCTAAATGTTTAGATAATTTCTAAAGTTCTGATGCTTCAGGTTCCTGCATATTGTTTTCTAAGACAAATAACAGAACCACAAGGAAGTAATTTAATCTTTAAAATCTTCAGTTTACTCAAATAAAACAAATGCACATACTTACCTGACTACAGTACTCTAAGGCTTACTAATGAAAGGATGTGATGTTTGTAAAAGCGATTTGGGAATGTTGGAATGAGAAATTCAGCTACAAGATGGAAACTACTCTTAGGTATAGGGCGTAAGGGAAGACAAATAAGCAGTTCTGTAGCATCTGTATTGTGCTGGGATTCCATTCTATTACTTCTGATTGGTATAAAGGCATTCTAGAATGCCTTCTGGTTTGTTCTCTCAAAGTACTGGTAAGGGGGAGGGGGCAGCAATATAGCTCAGGGTGTAAAGGTGCTTGCCACGCAAGCCTGACCACCTGGGTTCGATCACTGGAACCCACATAAAGGTGGAAGGAGAGAAATGACTCCACAAAGTTGTCCTCTGACCTTCACACATGTGCTGTGGCTCGTGTCCTTGCATGATAGTAACGATAATAATGATGATAACTGGTAAGAAGTGTAAGGGTGGAAATGGAGAAGAAAGCTGAGATGGACACAACAGTGGTAGGACTGATGTGGAAAAACATTTTAGAAGAAATTCATGTGTGCTAGAATTTTTATTTGCTTTTTGTTTCTTGGTGAGGGAGAACAATAACTATTCCCAATTCTCTTTCTTCCATGTCAAAACATAACAACAAACAATAATATGCACTATGAGAGGATAATGTCCAAGGCATTTCTGATGGTATAGTTTACCTCCAAAATTAGGAGGAAGTGTAAAACCCTATGTAGAACTGAATATTGCTTCCCTTTAACAAATACAAATCTAACAAAGCACTCTGGAGTCACTAATGTAAGCTATTTTTCCTGGCAGTTTTAGATGAAAAAGAAGTCTAAATGAAAATTAATTTGATGAATTAGAAAAATGAGCTACCATTTAATTTGAGATGTCTAAAAATTCTGACTATGACAATAAATTATAATTGTGATGAAGAGCATGATATTTTGAGACTTCAAAAAAGATGCACACAAATAGTCAATAGACACATGAAACACTATTGAGGATCATTAGATAGCAAAAGAATGTGAATTAAAACCACAATGAGGTATTACTACACCCTCATGGAATGACTGGAATTAGGTAGACTGACTAGACTTGGTGAGGAGGTGGAACAACTGAACTCTGGCATCTCACTGGCAGGAATGTAAAAGGTACAAGCACAGTGTCTTAACCAAGTTATATATACAGTTAAGAAATTATCTAAGCTGGGCACAGTGGTGCATGCCTTTATTCCCAGCACTTGGGAGGCAGAGGCAGGTGGATCACTGTGAGTTCAAGGCCAGCATGGTTTACATAGTGAGTTCCAGGACAGCTGGGGTTACAGAGAGACCCTGTTTCAAAAAGACAAAAAATTTTTAAAAAAGGTCTAGCTATAGCACTCCTAGGCATTTACCCCAATGGAAATACATGTCCATTCATTGTACATGAATGCTTAAGGAGTTTTATTTGTAATAACCTCACATAGAAGAAAAAAACAAACCTCAAAATGTGAATCAACAGGTGGTTCTGGAGATTGAACTCAGGTAGCACTTAGCCACTCCCCAACCCCAGTAAATCAACAGGTGGATAAACCAAGTGATATGACTACACAATGGACTAAACATTACTAATGTTTACAAAAAGTACAATCCCAAAGTCCATCCATTGAGAAGTAGACAAACAAAATGTTAATGGAAAGGGAATGAAGCACACAGTACAATGTGGATGAACCTTGAAGGGATATTATGCTAAATGAAACAAGCCAGACTCCAAAGATTAGATGGCACAGATATGAACGAACCCTTACCTTTACCAGGCTGAGAACTTGGTGGAGAAATTTGATCATATTCAACCATTAATTGCTTCAGTTTTTCAGCAGGAACATTCCACAGTGAAGACTCCAACAATCAGAAAACTAAAACACCAGGAGGTAGAGATTACATCTGTTTCTAATACTCAACTCTCATTTACCTGAAACCAAGCACAATTTTGTTATAGATTAAAATGTACAACTACATAATTGGCATAGACCAAATCTACAAAATCCACCTTTATTTTCTGATTTGCTGTTAATCTGAAAACAAAGATGCCCAGTGTGGAAGGAGACATCAACTCCCAGTGAGTTGTCTTCTGACTTTCACATGTGCACTATAGCATATATGCCTACACACTGGCATGCACACACAAATAACCAATGTAAGGGGGAAAACCCTACTTTGAGGGCCAAGGAGCCTGCTCAGTGGGTATAGAGGCTGTCACACAAGCACAAAGACCTGAGTTCAAATCCCAAGAACTGTAATGCCAGGTGCAGTGTAACATGTCTGCAATCTCAGTGCTCCTACTGTGAGATAGGGAGACAGAGAAGGAAGAATCTCTGGAAGTTTGCTGAGTATATGCATGGTGAACAAAGTGACCAAGTAACGTGGAAGGGTAGAAATGACAGCCAAGGTTATCTTCTGACCTCCATGTCAGCGCTGTGGAACACATATATGCATTCCCAAGTCAATTTATATATTGAGAATTTCACCTTAGTCAGAATAGCTATTATTAAGAAAACAACAATAAATGCTAGCAAGGACTTGGGGCAGAGGGCCTTATGCACTGCTGATGAGAATGTAAACTTGTCCAGCTGCTATGGAAATCAGCATGGAGGTTCCTCAAAACAAACAACAACAACAAAAAAATAGAACTGCATGACCCAGCTTTATCTGGGTGTAAACCTGCGGGACTCAAATCAACATACTATTCACAATATCCAGGTTATGGTATCAAGTTATCAACAGATAAATGGATAAAGAAAATGTGGTATACACACATAATGGAATTTTATTCAGCCATAAAAATATGAAATTGCTGGAAAATGGATGCAAACTAGAGATTGTCATATTAAGTGAAATATACTACACTCATGGACAAATAGTGCATATTTTATCTCATTCATGGGTCCTAGATTTGTACATATAGCTATACACACAGACACACACACACAGGAGACATGAGAACATAAGGAAGACTAGGGGAAGGAGGGAGACCAGCAGAAAGGGAAAAGAGGATGAGGAGGCTGGGAGGATATGTGGGAATGAATATAGTCAAAGTACATGATATACTTCAAACTTTTTATGAAGCTCGTCACTATGCATAATGAATAAAAGGTAGTTAATACAACTTTTTAAATGATTATTTTTAAAAGCTTTAAAAGGGTTTTGCTTGCTTTCAAATCTGTAGAAATAATTTTACAGTCTAGAAGAAGCCAGTAAGTCTTCCTTAGTTTTTCTTCACAAGGTGAGGTACATACCTGTAATCCTAGGACTGAGAAAGGAAAGATAGGGTCTTGCTGCATTTCTAGGATGGCCCTGAATTCCTTAAATTCAGTGATCCTTTTACCCCAGCCTTCAGAGTAGTTAGGGATATTAGTACATGTCCCTATAGAAGCAGCTGTAGAAGCCAGTAATTTTTTAAAACATGGATCTTGGGGATTTGAACTCAGGTTCTCATGCTTGCATAGCAAGCAGTTACCTAATGAGATCTCCCCAGCCCCAGAAGTCAATACTTTTCTGAGCTGGAAAGATGACTGAGTGGTTAAGAGAGTGCTTACTGCTCTTACAGAGGCCCAGGTTCAGTTCTCAGCACCCACATCTGGCTTACAACCACCTATAACTCCAGTCCTAGGGGTCCCAATGCCCTCTTCTGGCCTCCACAGGTTCCTGCATGCATGTGGTACACATAAGCTCATGCAGACACACACACACAAATAAAAAAAAAACCTTTAAAAAAAAATATATTCTAGCCAGGTGTGGTATGGTGGCATGCCTTTAATCCCAGCACTTGGGAGGCAGAGGCAGGTGAATCTCTGTGAGTTCAAGGCCAGTCTGGTCAGTCTGGTCTACATACTGTGTTCTAGGCCAGCTGGGGCTAACAAAAAAAAAAAAAAAAAAAAAAAAAAAGCCATCAAGTCTTTTGGTTGGGGGCTGTCCCATACCTAAGGCAAAGAAGACAAAGAAGTCTCTGGAGTCCATCAACTCTAAGTTCCAGCTTATGGAAAGTGGAAAGTACATGCTGGGGTACAAGCAGACTGATGTTTGACAGGGCAAAGCAAAACTGGTCTCCTTGCCAACAACTACCCAGCTTTGAGGAAATCTGAAACAGACTATTGAGCTATGCTGGCCAAATTGGTTTCTATCATTACAGTGGCAAGAACAGTGAAATGGGCACAGCATGTGAACAACAGTATTGAGTGTGCACACTAGCTGTCATTGATCCAGGTGATTCTGGTAGTATTATTAGAAGTATGCCAGAGCAGACTGGTGAAAAGCAAACCATAAAAACGTGCTGGAGTTTGTTTAAAAAAAGAAAGAAAAAAGGATGTTAAGGTTAGAGTGCTGGATATCCTGTTTATAACCTTTAACTACTTCAATGGAAGCCACTGAGGGTATAATATCTCTTGATTCATATTAATAGTTTCCTGCTCAAGCTTTATAATTCCTCCTAGTTACAATGCAAACTCAGGATACTAAGTGGCTAAGTTACTGAAAACTTTAGTAGCTTTCTGAACACAATGGAAGATGTGAGGAAAAGAAAATGAGCTTCAGACTTAAAAATACCTGAGTTTAAATCCTAATTTTCTAATGTCAGCAAGTTATTTCTTTTCTGAGCCAGTGTCCTCATTCTTCAAAAGGATAAGATCTCCTTCTGCATGGTGTTCTTGTAAGGATTTAGTAAGACGTGTGTGGTATAACTGCATGCTGGGGTCATGAAGGGGGCTCACAGTATCCTATGGTCTTGAGATTTTTATTTTTGCATATGTAATCCATCCTGAACAGGTAGCTAACTTTGTAAACACTGTGTAGCCCTTCTGCCTCCATGACTGCTAGTGTAAATAAACTCATCTCCAGTTGGTTTAAAAAAAAAAAAAAAGGCATGTGTGAAGTTTGCTGCATGGGGCTGGAAAGATGGTTCAGTAGTTAAAAACACTTGCTGTTCTTCCAGAGGACCTGGGTTTGATTCCCAGCACCCACATGGTGGCTAACAACCATTTGTAATTCAGTTCTAAGGGATCCGACACCCTCTTTTGGCCTCTGCATGTATGTGGTGTACTTACACACAAGCAAAACACTCATATATAAAAATAAATATATTATTTAGAAAGCTTCCATAGGACATATTCTCTTACAACCTATCTCACAATGTAAAATCTATTATTCAAACTGTAACTACTCAACAGATGCCTTTAGTAAAACCTGTCACATTTGTGACATCTATGAAGAAAATAAAGGCAAAATGTTGAAGGTAATACTTTCAATCTTCAACAAGCAATGTATCATTTCATATATTATCTCAAATTTTCCCAATCACTTACAAGGCTACAGAAGTAGCTTTCTGCTCATGAGACTGGCCATTTTAATATGAAAACAATAAGCATCTAATATTTAATATGGTACTCTTATGTTTCTAAAGATGGAATTCAGAGCCTCATACATGTATGTGTAAAGAAAAAACTTTATTCACTGTAAACCTCAAACTTTAAAAACAGATTTTTTAGTATTTATTTAGGGGGTGTGCATGCACAACAGGGAGTTGTAGAGGTTAAAGAACCAGCAAGAGTGAGTCTCTCTCCTTCCACCTGGTGGGTTCCAGAGATTGAACTCAGGTCATCTGGCTTGTAGGATAAGCACCTTTACCTGCTGAGTCATCTCTCTGGCTACATGGCCTCAAACTTGTGATTCTCCTTGCCTGAGCCTCACGAAGACCCAGAATTACAGATGTGTGCCAACATGCCTGGCTGGGATATTTTCCTTTGATCCAGAAAGTACCATTCTAAAGAAGGTACTTGGGTACCAGTAGAAGATTAGACTTTATGAAAGTGATATAGGGGAACAATATTGAAAGAGACTAAGAAATTGAGCCTAAGGCATTATGTTTTGTAGTAAACAATCTCAAGAAATGCAGTCAACTTTGAGTCACTGATTCTAGCTACAGAAAGCCCTCCATATCTGTGGGTTCCACATTTTTTTTTTTGTCAATCAACTACAGTCAGAAATTAATGTCATTTCATAAGAGACTTGAGCACCTGTGGATTTTGGTACAAAGAGTGGGTGGGATTCGTGTCCTGGAACCAATCCCCTGAAGACACTTAAATATGTCTGCACACCACTGAAACCACAAACCATCTTTACTTGTGGTAGGCAACCTTCTTCCATAGTTGGTAACCATTTGAATTTCACTAAATAAGGCTCACACAGGCTCCTCAAAGCTAGCCATATTTGTATATTAACTTTTAGGACTTTGGCTAATTTTTCCCCTTCATAATAAACTGCTAAAATTTACATCTACACATTTAGATTCACAGTCTACAGTTGAATCTAAAGAACCTAACAGCTGAAGTTTATTTTATAGCTTACCAGTTTATAAATAGGATGCTGCTATAGTTTGACCACAAACTCCTAAAAGTCTATGTTGGGGACCAGCGAGATGGCTCAGTTGGTAAAGGTACCTTCCACCAAGCCTGCAGACCTGAGTTCAACCCAAGGGACATGATAGGAGAGAAATGACTCCTTTGACCTCCATAAGCCCCTCCTTCCACATTATTTATGAATGAATAAATGTAATTAAGCAAAAAAATATTAAAGCCTATGTTGGAAACTTTATCCCTACTATAACAGTGTTAGGTGAAACCTAAAGAGATTTTTTTCAGGTCACGAGGGCACTACTTTAATGAATGGATTAATGCCAGTTATGAGAAGACTTGAGGCTCCAAGTTTGACCTTTCTCTACACACATACAACTCTTGCTTTCTACCATGCTGCAGCAAGGCCTTCACCAGATGTTGAAATTTTGGTATAACAATCACTGGCCTTTAGAACTGTAAGAAATGAATTTCTTTTAGGTGTTGCCCTTGTTAGTACAAACTCACTATGTAGACCAAGCTAGCTTAAAACTTGTCACCTTCTGACTTTTTGCCTCCTGAGCACTAGGATTACTGGTACATGCTAGCTAGCAGGTCCAACTTCTACACAGCAACTTAAATGGTTAGTCAGAAACATGAGTAATATCAAACTGTGTAGAACTAGATCCATTCAATTTTACCATAAACCCAATATACACAAGCAAAAATTAAAGTATGAACACACAAAGGAAGGAATTATTGTGGCTGGCCCATGAATCATTCACTTCCTTTTCTGGGGAAAAGGGGATGGTAGAAGGCAGATAACACCGAGATCTTTGAGTAAAGAGCCTGATTTGCTGGGAGGAAGTGACCCCATCTTTAAAATTCCCACAGTAAGATAGATATCCCTGGCTAAGTATTACTGATAATAAGCCCCAAATTTATGAGGCATAACTCCCTAAACAAGCTACACAATTCTCTGGGGTATAACATGGATATGATTTATAACCTATAATGTGAAGTAACCTAATCAACACTTAGAAATTATATTGAAAGCCAGGCATGGTGGTGCATGCCTTTAGTCCCAGCACTCAGGAGGCAGAGGCTGAGGCAGGCAGATCTCTGTGAGTTACAGGGCCAGCCTGGTTGGCATAATGAGTTCCAGGGTTCCAGGTCAGCTGGGGAGACCCTGTCTCATAAAGACCAAAAAAAAGAAAAGAAACTATATTGAACAAGAGATACAATCCAATATGGGAAAACAAGGTCTGAAACGTCTTTTACATACCAGACACTTCTCTGCCAACAGTTGGGTCTCTCATTGGTATGTACCTTTGAAATAATTACTAAATCTTGACAGTGTATTAACACTATTGATTCACCCAAGTCTGACTTACAGTTTAAGCTTCCATGTTAACTAAATTTGCATTGAAAAGTTAGAAGACATACACGAAATTTAATGTGGTTTGGGAAAGGAGTAGGGGAATTACATGTTTTTTTTCTCTCTATATATACTTTTGTAAAAGTAAAAAACTCTGTATTTATGTTGGTTATCTTCAAATTAAGCTTAATTTCAGAACCAGTATGGAGATTTAAAAGGTTTGCTTAAAAATATGTGCTCAAAGCCAGGCATGGTGGCACATGCCTTTAATGCCAGCACTTGGGAAGTAAGAGGCAGGTGGATGAGATGAATAAGGCCAGCCTGGTCTACATAGTGTTTCAGGCCAGCTGAAACCTGCCTGAACCCTGTCTGGGAACCCTGTCTCAAAGACAAAAAAGATGGGGGCTGAAGAGATGGTACAGCAGTATGAGTACTGGCTGCTCTTGCAGAGGACCTGGGTTCAATTTCCAGTACCTACAGGGCAGCTAACAACTGTCCCTAACTCCAGTGCCAGGGGATCCCTCTTCTGACCTCCGAGGGCAATGCATGACATGGGTGCACCTACTTATATGCAGGCAATTGGCAATACATTCATACACATAAAACTAATAAATATATTTTTTAAAGTGCTCAAGAGAATTGTAAATGAGAAAGTTTAGAATAAATTTAGTACCTTGCAATTACGAGTTGTTTAAAATATATAATTTAGCTGTATTTGACTCTAACGTCAGTAAGGTGAAAATGTTAGATACGTAAGTTTTCAGAACTTCCCGATTCAGAATTAATGTACACAAGCTGACTACTGGGACACTGACTCAATCTTTTTTTGAGATAGGATCTTACTGTGTTGTTCAGTCTGGCCTTGAACAGCTGTGCTCATGTGATACTACGGTCTCAGTCTCCTGCTTCAAGTTTTACTGGTCCTATTCTGAAAGTGAGAATAGAATTCTAATAATTGGGAGAATAATTCTTAGGTAACTTTTCTTGGAGGAATTTCCTAACATGGTCTTAAAACACACACACACACACACGTAATACCAAGTAATATCTTCCCCTCTTCTTGCCTACTAGTATAAATGGAAATTAAAAGGCTTATATTCAGGCATATTTTTTCCCCCAACAGTGGGTCTCACAATGTAGCCCAGGCTGGCTTTAGAGTCTTGGTCTTCTTGCCTCAGCCTGATTACTGGGATTACAGGTAAGTGCCACCATGCCCAGCTCACCTTTTGCAATGATCTATATAGAGGCCTAAATCAGGTATGGTAGTGCATAACTGTAATCCAAACACTTGCAAGGTGGAGGTGGGTGGATCAGGAGTGCCAAGAGGCAGTTACATGATGAGGGTATTTACCTGAAATAGTGACAAGGTAATTTTAAAACTGTTATAGCTTTGTTTTAAAAAATCCTACTGATTTACTTCAACCTTAGTAGAGATTTTTTTATTCCTTGAATGTCACCAAATGGCCACTGGAGTCCAAAGTTTCATGTTTCATGAATTATTGACCTAGTACACAGCCATACTATGAAAGAAATACCAATATACAAATGCTAAATCAGCGCATAACGTTAAATCTACACAGGTCTTCAGAGTTTGATTAGTGCAGGGTTCCTCAACCTTGATAATACTGATGTTCTGGGTAGGATAATCATGTTGCATATGTGGGGGTTGTTCCATGCATTTTAGTGTGTTTGTGGCATCTCTGTCCCATACCAAATAGGTACCTGTAACATTTGTTTACTATGTTCCTTCCCTGTCCAGTGATAACAAGAAGAAAAATTGTGCTAGACATTGCCAAATGTCTAGAGGGGGAGCCTGGGTTTGTTTCTGGAACAAGATGATTAAATCTCACACCCTTGGTTGAGAATAACAGGGCTAGTCCACTTAATAGTTGATAAAACTCAAGACCAGAAAGCCGAGGACTTCCTCAGGTCATACACTTGAGAAATTAGCACCAAACCATCACTAGTCACGGCTCTTCTATTCGCATCTTACCACACGTTAGTATAGAGGTTACTGCAGTGTGAGGGACAGCTCTTAGTCACTGCCAAAAAACCCAGTAGACGCTGAAACTGGCAGAACTGCTGGTTTTCTTTCCCACAAAGGTTGTTTCTTCTTGAGATCTGGCCCCAAACTAGACAGAATTGTAGTCTGTATAACTATAAGCATACCTGGTGGCAGAAGTCTGGTATTACCGTTTAATTTAAAAAAAAAAAAATTAAAAAAAAACTCACATTATTCCTGGCTGATATTCATTTGACTCAATGAATTTCTTTATATTATTACTGAATATAAGTGCTTATAAACTACTATTTTACTTTTGTGCCACTTCAGCCAAGTGAACTGTATAAAAGATAAGGATTAGCACACAAAAATTTTTATCATGTTGTTTTTATAGTGTTTATGGGTGTCCTAGAAAAAGCAATCTTAAATTATTTTATAATATTGTGGCTTTCTTCATTTTTCACTCTGGAGACAAGAAGCAACATAAGGCAACACAGCAGGTGCTAAAAATTATGTACATGTCTGTGTGTTTTACTGAAATAATCTTCAGGGGAACTGAGTGCCACAATTTAAAATCATTTCCCAAACGGCTTTAGTCTCATCTCACAGTTGCCTGTAAGCAGGCTATTTATAGGTGTGTGGTACCTGTTTAGAACTCAAACATCTCTACCGGGCTAGTCAACTGCTTTTTGTGTTTCTGGAAATGTTTGTTGGTGAGAACTGTCAAGATTCTCCAAACACTTGTACAAAGTGACTTCACCAAAACTGAACACGGCCCCTAGTACAGGTCAGGTCCCTGGGACAACCCTGCCCCACTTTAGGGAAAAGCTCTGGCTGTTGACTGTTGTTGTTTTTTCCCCTAGCCCAAACCTGATGCCAGACCCTTGATTTATTTTTGTTTCTTGTGATGCTGGAGATTAAGTTTTGGGTCTAAGGCATGAGACAATTCTACACATAGTAGAGACTTCTCTTTTAAAAAGTATTTACTAAAAAAAGGTTACTATTTTTTGTTGTTGTTGTTGTTTGTTTTGGAGGCAGGGTCTTAAGATGGAGCCTCGGCGGGCCTGGGATTCTATGTAGACCAGGATGGCCTCTGCCTCCCTAGTGCTGGGATTAAAGGGCCAGCAACTCAACAATGTTAACTCTTTCCTGTCCTTTTCAGACGTGTATTTCCTACAAGTTAGGAGTGTCTTTCAGCAACTATAAAGTCGTCTTTGCAACGTAACTAGAAGGCAGGGAGGGAGGTCGCCCAGCCAGGCTCGACTCCCACAATTCCCGGATGCAGACGCTGCTCTGGATGACTAACCCTTTTGGAACTGTCACCTCCGGTTCTACTTCCCCGCTGCCTTCTCTGTCCTCACACTGGCCTTTACAACGCCCCAGCCCCCTGAGCAGGAAATCAGGCCGGCTCGCCCCTGCTGTCGGTCTTCCCTCGCTAGTCCAGCTTCACTTCTCGCACTGGGAAATACGCTCAACCCGGTCCTCTCCATTGAACTTTCCTTTCCCTGACCTGCCTTCCACGGCCATGGCCTCCGTGAGCCCAGGAGAGCTTCGACGGGCCCCTCCGCCTCACCTCGCCCCTCCAACTTTCGACTCCAGTGCCCACGCTACTTGCTGGAGCCCCACTGCCCGCCCGGCTGCACCTCTACCGAGGTGGCTGGCGTCCTCTGCGCACTGCGCGCCTCCACCCGAGGCTCTGGATCCACCGCCCGGGCCCTCGGGTGGTCCCCGAAGGCCCAACCTCCTCGCTGGGCCGCCGCCGTCGCCCTCACGCTCCAGGCCCGCAGCCTGGCCGCCTCTCGGGTCCCCCAGACCTCCGCTTCCTGCCCGAGGCGAGGCTCGTCGGGCCTGGCGCGGCGGGCGCTGAGGGCGGCGGAGGAGAGAAGGGCTCCGTGGGCCGCGTCCCCATCGCCGGCCATTTCGCAGTCGGGCGGGGCGCGCACGGCCTCTGGGCCGCCGGGATTGAGGCTGAAGCTCGGGCCGCCCCCGCCGCCGGGCGGGAACTCACCTTCTCTGAGGCAGGGGCGGGCGTCTACAACTACTGTCCCCCTCCCCGCCAACGCCGCAGGCAGGGGGCAAAGGCAGCGGTGGAGGTGGCGGAGAGGCAGGAGCTCGGCTGCCACCGCCGCCGCCTCCGCCGCCGAGTTAGCGGGGTGGGGGGAGGAGGCGGAGACCTGACTTCCTGACGGGAAGTCGCCGCCACTACCCGCGGCTGACTGGACGGCACCAGCGCCATAGCGGCGGGGCGCGCCAGCACGCATGCGCAGCAGGCAGCCTCGTGCTCTCGGAGGGCTCTGTAGCCCCGCCCTCCATGTTTGCTCCGCCCCCTCCCGCCATTTCCGTACTCCACTTTATGTTCGCTCGGGTTAACAGTAGTTATGGTGGCGTCTGGTCACTGGAGGCACCGGACATACCCACGGAGTGAATCCAAAGGCAACCGAGGCCGAAATGAGTCCGGACATGTATGGATTCCACCAGCAAAGTATCCAAAAAGTACATGCCTCCTGCTTTTTCTTCCTCTTGTTAAAAGTAGATTAAGCACAATCCTCGGTTACGTACTCATTGTCAGCATCGTCCATAAATCACCTTTCCCTCTCACTTTCTCAGGTTATTGCATATAAGTGTATACCACACCTGAGGCCATATGCAGTATGGGTATAGATCTGATCATCTCATCCGGTGTCCTAAAGAAATTATTATTTATTTACTTACTTTCTAAAGTATAAGCATATATACACACACATATGTATCTATCACATATATACAGCATCCCACACATGTACAGCTAAGTACGTTTAGTTTTAAAAAAATCTTTTATATATTTTTTAAAGATTCGATTTATTTGTTCTTGTTTTTGTTTTTGAGACTACCCCCTCACTTTTGGCCTGGAACACAGGATCCTACTGCCTCAGACTCCCAAGTGCTGGGATTACAAGTCAGCACTACCACACCCAATTGTATATTTTTTTTAAACAAAGATTTATTTTTATTTATGTGTGTGTGTGTGTGTGTGTGTGTGTTTGTGTGCCTAAGGAGGACAGAATAGGGCATAGGGTCTCTTGGAAAAGCAGCAAGTCCTCTTAACCCCTGAGCTCTCTCTCTCCAATCCCTGTAGGTTATTTTTTAAACTTCATAAAATTTATGTTCTCCTCTATATAGCATGCTGAATTTTGCTTCACATTTAGATATTCAGATTTGAATAAGCTTTTGCAAATAGGTGTAATTTTTTTTTCAGTTCTTGTTGATGGACCTGTTTCCTATACTTACGAAAAAGTTTCCCCTGGTTACCCTCTACCTTTCTGTCACACTGACATTGCCTTATTTCAGGTTCTTACCACCTATTGCTTGAAACATGCTAAGATCTCCCTTCCTCTAACTTCAACTACTTCAGTCTCTCAGTATTGCTACCGACAGCTGTATCTAAAAGTCATTACTGGGTCCCTATTGTCTGTTGGAAAAAATTAAGGTGAGTCAGACCTCTCAGCTTCTGTATACCTGCTTGATGCCACTTCCCCCCTGCCCCCAAGGGAAAAATGGTTTATTTTAGCACACAGTTCCAGGTTCCAGGCCCTTACAGCGGGGAAGTCAAGGCATCAGGAGTCTGAAGCAGTTGGTCACATTACGTCGGTAATCAGAAGAAGAGAGCAACGAGCGCATGCATGCTCCCTGACGTCTTTATTTTCTATTGCTCCCACCTCCCTGCACTACTTGCACCTTCTGATTTGGTAACATTAAACTTATACTGATTCCTGTTTGTTTTAAAACTTTTATTTATTAGTGTGTATGTGTATGACACTCATGTGGAGGTCAGAACACAGCTTAAGTTGGTTCTTTCCTACTATTGTGGGTTCCGAGGATTGAACTCAGGTCTTTAGGCCTTCAATGCAAGCGCTTTTACCTGCTGAGCCGCATTGCCAGCCCTGATTCCTGTTAATACCACATTATTGCATAACCCAATAGACTGTCTTTGCTCCCTTTTTCTGAAATTCCTACTCCAGTACTTACTAATGAACTCCTTCCTTGGAAGGATCACAAAGCCTTGCACATGCTGGGCAAGCAGGTTCCATGCTGTTTTAATAAGAGCACCAGGACCAGAGAAGTGAGAGTTTGTCAGTGATGTGCTTAGGCAGGATATGTGAGTGATAGATAAATTTAAGCTTTATTTTATTTTTAGTTACGTGTATATGTGTATCTATGTGGGTATGTGCCTGTGTGCGGAGGTGCCTGGTGAGACCAGAGGCATCAGATCCCTGGAGCTGGCGTCACAGGTGGTTGTGAGCCACCTAATTTGGGTGCTGGGAACCAAATTAGGGTCTCTCCTAGAGCAGTATGGGCTCTTAACCATTAAGCCATCTCTCCATCCCCTCCCCCTTTTTAGTCAGTCCCTTCCCCCCCTGTTTACGCAGCCCCCCCATTCAGTCTCTGAGCTTTCTCCTTGATTATGTTTCTCATATTGTTTTTGGACCGAGTGAATGAAAGAGCCAGTGAGTGGGCTTTGAGGCAGGGAGTGCTCCCTGACACGGGCATGCCTTCTGCTATCATTTGTCTCGGCAGAGTCTGGAAAATATGTAAATGAGTGAGTGTAATAATTTTCTAAGACAGTTTTATTTATTATACTAATTGAAATTTGAATTTTGCTTAATTTTCATGTGCCATAGAATTTTATTTTCCCCCAACCATTACAGAAGGTACTTTCTTTGTTTTTGAGACAGGGTCTTCTTTTGTATCCCCAGTTGGCCTGGAACTTACTATTATAAATCCAATTTGGCCTGGATCATGTAGAAATCTGCCTGTCTCTGCCTTTGCCTCCAGAGTGCTGAGATTAAAGGTGTGCACCACTATGCCCAGGGTACAAACTATTCCTAATTCTCAGGCATAAAGGACTCTTGAAGAAAGACCTTTGACCTAAATAAACTTTAGCACCAGGTAGAAAAGAAGTTGAGTGAAGGGCTGTTTTTTTTTTAACTGAAGTAGGTTTAGAAAAGATGTGAAGTCGCGCAGCTCCTTTGATTTGCCACTAGATGGCAATGTCGGCAGGCGTGTAGCTCAGTCAGTAGCTCGGCAACAAAGGAGATGGCATGGTCCGGTGCAGTATTCATACAGACACAAGAACTCTACCAAAATTCAAAACTTCACAAACTATGTGGCTGATTTTTTTCATTTAATTTTATATTTTCTTTTCTTTTCTTTTTTTTCGGTCTTTTTAAGACAGGGTCTTCCAAGTAGCCCCAGCTGGCCTGGAACTCAAGACCAGGCTGACCTTGAACTCACAGAGATCTGCCTGCCTCTGCCTCCAGAGTGCTAGGTCTAAAGGCTGGCATCATCGTGCCCGGCTTTACTTTTACATTTACATATATATATATATATATATATATATATATATATATATATATATATATATATATATATATATATATATATATATATATATATATATATATATATATATATATATATATATATATATATATATATATATATATATATATATATATATATATATATATATATATATATATATATATATATATATATATATATATATATATATATATATATATATATATATATATATATATATATATATATATATATATATATATATATATATATATATATATATATATATATATATATATATATATATATATATATATATATATATATATATATATATATATATATATATATATATATATATATATATATATATATATATATATATATATATATATATATATATATATATATATATATATATATATATATATATATATATATATATATATATATATATATATATATATATATATATATATATATATATATATATATATATATATATATATATATATATATATATATATATATATATATATATATATATATATATATATATATATATATATATATATATATATATGTACATATTCTTAAATTGTAACATACTCAACTGAGGATATACAATCAACTCTTGTGAGGACTCTTACATACTTGGGACAACAATATAATTACAAATCTAAGCATAGGTGCTACAGCATGCCATCTGTTAACAGACTACCCAAGATTCAGGCCACAAGAGGAACCCAATCTCACATTAAGAGGCTGTTTGGCCAGGAATGCTGGTGTGGACCTATAATTTCAGCAATTTGGGAGATTGTGCTGGTTAACTTTTGTCAACTTGACATAAATTAGAGTCGCCTGGGAAGAGGGATTCCCAGTTGAGGAATTTCTTCCATCAGATTGGTCTGTAGTATGTTTTCTTGATTGCTAACTGATGTAGGAAGGCCCCACCCACTGTGGGCAGTGCCACCACTGGGTTAGGTAGGTGGGTCTGGGCTATATTATAGAAGAAAGGTAGTTTAGCAAGGCAGAGGAAGCAAGCCAGTAAGCAGCGTTCCTTCAAGGTCTTTGCCTCAGTTCCCGCCCTGAGTTCCTGCTGTGGCTTCCCGCAATGTTGGACTGTAACCTGTAAGCCAAATCAACTCTTTCCTCCCCAACTTGCTTTTGGTCAGTTTCTATCATAGAGACAAAGGAGCAAACTAGGACAGAGGTTGATGCAGGAGATCATGAGTTTAAGGCTAGCCTGGGCTATATCCTGAGATACTATCAACAACAACAACAATGACAATGACAGCAACAACAAAGGCTATTTGAAGTCATGCCTAGGTTTTGAAACTATATACCCATCTCTTCTAAACAGTCTGTATGTCTGGCCTCTCCTGCTACATTCTTCTATCCTTGAAGCACTTCACTAGGGACCTGGCATTACCTTTGCTTAGCATATCCTGCACCCATTGCCCTGAGCTTGCTTTAGGTTGTGGGAGTATAGGGTAGCCACGGTAGTAGTGTCTTTTGTGGGGAGAGGGGCGGGGGATTCTGCTGACGTAGACGTAGATTCCATGACAGCTTGGACATCCTGCTCTATAGCTATCATTCTTAAGATCTTGTCTCAAATCTCCCAGCTCAGACTCCTCTCTGAACAGCGCCTTTTGGCTTGAGCAGTCTCATGTCTCACCCTTTCTCTTCACACTTCTTTAACCACTGGCACAAATGAAAAAACAAGATGCCTGTTAGAAACATTAACAGTGGAAAAACTTTCCAGTCTTTTGGAATAGAAAAATCAGCAGCAGCAACATTATCATTAAAGTCTATGAAGCTCATCTGTGGTCTGAACTACTATATCACATTGCCACACAGTTGAGTGTACCCTGGCAC